TTCCATCAACTCGAAGCACAAGGAACTCCCTTCCCTTTAATCACATCAGAATTTCCGACGCACGCGGTGTAACAGCGGCCTGCGCCAGATATTCAATTTCGACGCACTTGAAAAACGTCGCGGCTGAAAACACTCGCGCTCCATGAAAGTAGTACAACTTTACGGTGCTCAAAGGAAACGAAAAAAAATTCCCTGTGGGAACCTCGGAGTGATTATTCGGCGAAGCTCCGTCGGCCGTCACCGAAGAATTAAAATTTTTTTTCCCCCCCTATCAGAACAAAGGGAAAGTCTGTGTACCTTGGGGGAGGGGGGATGGCGGATTGAGTGAATGAAAAAGAGAAAAAAAGAACTCATCAGAGAAGCAGAGTAACGCGCGCGCGCGCGTAATCGTATCAGAGAGCGACTTTCCCGCTGAAAAAGTAACGTGTGACGCGCAGAGGCTTGATCGAAGTTTAATAAAACAGCAAGCCGGGATATATAGGTTTCCCGGCCGCGCTGTGTACGAACACGTGGGCGGTTTCATCGAGCGAATAAAATAAACAGCTTAATGCCTGTTTTAATATTGAAACGCGCGTCACGTGATACATAGACCCGGCCGCGGGGCTCGCTAAGTTCCGTGATTCGAGCTGCGCGCGGAACGAGCCCGCGTATTTGTATAATTTATTTTGCAACGGTACATGCATAGCTAATCGGAAATTTATGCGGCGGGGGCGAGTAGACCGCGCACGTGAAATTCTCGCTTGATAATTCCGTGCACGATCGTCCGGTGCAATTGTGCGGGATGTGTTAAATCTCGACGATGACCAAAATCCGCCATTATGACAACTCAATTTTAGATTAACGCTGCGCGCAGATGTTACACGAGCGACGTTCGCGACGTGTTAACGAACAGATCGATCGGTTTTTGTCGTTGCTGACAAGGACTTACATCGAAGTGCCGTATGATGAAATGCGTGTGAAATTGAAACCGAACAGATGGAAGTTTGTGTGAATATTTTGCTTATTTTTTAATTTCTTTGTGAAACGAGCGATTTCGAAATTCCCACTGATATTGTGTGTATGTGAAATCATTTAAATAAGTTAATATATAATATGTAATATTATATTATTGATATAATATATAATATAAACATATATAATATATAATATTATATATAATATTATATTATTGATATAATATATAATATAAACATATAATATATAATATTATTGATATAATATATAATATTATATTATTGATATAATATATAATATAAACATATAATATATAATATTATTGATATAATATATAATATTATATTATTGATATAATATATAATATAAACATATAATATATAATATTATTGATATAATATATAATATTATATTATTGATATAATATATAATATAAACATATAATATATAATATTATTGATATAATATATAATATTATATTATTGATATAATATATAATATAAACATATAATATATAATATTATTGATATAATATATAATATTATATTATTGATATAATATATAATATAAACATATAATATATAATATTATTGATATAATATATAATATTATATTATTGATATAATATATAATATAAACATATAATATATAATATTATTGATATAATATATAATATTATATTATTGATATAATATATAATATAAACATATAATATATAATATTATTGATATAATATATAATATTATATTATTGATATAATANTGTATCTTTGCGAATGCAATTTACAGCGACTCTAATTAATATTCGGACACCTTTTCGAACGCGATAACTTTTTTTGAAGCAGACAATACGATTTGAAGTTTTTTGTTAGATGATAGAAGAACTGGTGTACTAGAAAATGACTGAACTATTACTTTGTTACAATTTCGCTATTACTTGGAGCGACAAAACGAAATGATAAACTCTTCTTTTCAAGCTTCATTATCTGAGCCTGTAACGAAAATTTGAAACATGCTTTTTGTACATCTGTGTAAGTTGTATGCGTACTGAAAATTTTAATTAATGCCAAGAAAACTGCAGATTTCTCACATTTATCGATTGAAAGTGTCCAAAGTCGGGACTAAACTGCAATTTTTGCGATCTTTAATTGTTTAAGATCGACCGATTTCGATCAAATTTGCCGAAATCTGCAAAACGCATTCTTCAAATTTTCGTTATAGGTTCAGATAAGAAAATTAAAAAACAAGGGTTTTTTTTTATTTTCTTTCGTCACTCCAAGTAATAGCAAAATTTAAAAAAGATACTTTATTCATTGTACAGTAAACTAATCCTTTCAACATTTGTGTATTGTTTAAAGGATTAAAGGATTCAAGTTTAAAGGATTAAAGGAAAATGATCGAGCTTCTCTGGGACACAATTTGATCATTATGACTCATTTATGGCTACACCGCGAATCTTTATGCGAGATAAAAATGATCTTCGTCGATGCGACAAGCAAGAGTAAAATAGAAATTGCGTTCGCCTCCCCTCCCCCCTATCGTAAATATTTTTAATATTTCCACTGTTTTATGTCTCATCTAGTTATTTTTATTATAAGCGCATAAAATCCGCAGTTTATTTGACATTCCACTCTGAAATACTATCACAGCTGAATCATGTTTCAGTCCAACTTTTTATTAATATTACTTGGAAATATAACGTTCGATAGTATCGATTTTTTAAATATTTATTCAAGTCATTATTTACGATAACGATATTATAAATCCCATCGGTTCTGTCACGTACTTTTTATTGCAAGCGTTGCAGGCCAAATCAACTTTGGCACTGTTTCATTGCGACCTCTAATGGCGACAGAAGGTGTTATAAAATCATGGATACTTTCGTTCTTTTGCTGAATTTAAGATAATGCATCTTTTGTTCGAATATACAGTTCCTAACTAAAATCATTCGCACAGTAGTGTTACATTGTCTGCGGCGTCTTATTTAGCTGAAACTCGGTGTGAACGAACGCATAAACCGTGAGGTATATTTGTTGCTATTCCTTTTTTTATGCCTACGAGTATTTAATACATAATGTAACGCAAACCTTAATGCAGATGTAGAAAATTGTTCACTTATTTGTAATCGTGTAAAATCAAAGAATTGTAAAATGGATTCGAGCAATCTTATCAGAATCTAAATAATTGCGACGATTTATGTTCGAAAGTAATTTTTAATCATTTTTCATAGTCCATTGCAACAGGCGTACCATAACGGCTTTTAAAAGTTAATAATTTAGCATTGAAAGATAACGTATAATTGAAAATGTTCAGTGCAACATGAAGAAGCATTGGCGCACTGCTGATTTTCAGGACTTGCAATTGTACTTGCAATTGTTTACAACCTAAAAGAATAAACAAAAGAAAGCTGTTCGTTCTTTCCTAGATTACTTTTCATGGCAAATTATCTAAAGTAGCATCTTATTTCCGGATATTCCGGACTACTAAAAAATTCGGCTCGTACCATTACACCGTCTTCTCAATCTACGATATCGCGAAAAAAGCTGACGAGAGTACCCACACTTCTTTCATTCGCTGCACACTTTACACGAGATACTCGATCGGTGATCTCGAGTGCTGCCTTTTTCGACCGCGCCCTATCGTAAACCTTGTTTTCCGAGACTGCGACACGAGTTTTTTCTTTTTTTTTTATACGAGATTCATGAATTCTACATTTCACGCGCCATTTTGCATGAAACCTTTCCCTGCTGGTCCGCCATTACGATTGCTGTTTTATCGATTACCGTTTATTGACAAGGAAATGTCCGTCGTTTGAAAGCTGTCGATAGATAAGCGCAATGCACCGGAAAGTATCGGTGCACAGCATATAACGGCACAATAAAATGTTTATCCTCCGTGGTCCGATGTGTTTCCCTGCTTTTTTATCAGCCAATCTGCATATCGTAACGTCTGCCATAAATCGTATACGCGGCATGAAACGTCTCCTCGCGTTCCAGACACGTGCAAATCCTTCTTTTACTAGGGCACACAGTATCGGGTGTGTACACGTTCGCGATTTATGTTAATTTCAACGCAGATATTCCTACACAGTCTTCTGTCGTGTTAAAAATATACAAGTCTTAACCTTTTAGGCACGACGCGCCACTATAGTGGCTTGCTCTAGTAGCTCACTCGCTCATCGTTCGAACCAAATAATCGTCTTCATATGCACTGTTTCACGCTTCGTTTGTCTTCGCATCGATTTACAACAGTCTACAGGGTGCCCCAAAAATGTCTCGCAATCCGGAAATGGCGGGTTCCTCGGATCATTTGAAGCAACTTCTTCCTTTACAAAAATGTTCTCCGAGGCACCGTTAACGAGTTATCAACGAAAAACAGTGACCAATAAGAATCGAGTACGGCTGACGCGAGGCGGCCCAGCCGACCAGCGCGCGAAGCCCAGTTCCGCTCATTGGCTCGATCGCTTCGCGCCAGCCGAGCTCGCCTCTCATTGGTCACTGTTTTTCGTTGATAACTCGTTAACGGTGCCTCGGAGAACATTTTTGTAAAGGAAAAAGTTGCTTCAAATGATCTCAGGAATCCCGCATTTCTCGCTTGTACAATAATTTTGGAACACCCTGTATACAGCACGGAGGTCAATTTACAAGCGAGGCACGAATACCTATACGTCATAGCGACAATAGATGTCGCGATTATATTCTAAAAGGTACGCAGGTTCCCGCAGTAACAAAATGATTCAAAAATTATTGCAATATAAAAATAGTAAAATACACACTTTCCTCTGTTCGTGATCACTAGTACACTGATTTTTGCCATGTTTGGTACCATTCCTGACCACCTCAAAATTTTCGTATATTACATACATCATAAGTTTGTAATAAGAAAGTATTTAAGAGCGGATTAAATATATTATTTAATAATAATATTTAATATATTATTATATATATTGTCTTATCGAATAAGTCAACCGGTCCCGCTAATCTCTAAACGAGACATTTAATTGTAACCAGTCGGTCTAACGAATTTCCATTTTTCTTTCTTTTCCAGCCCACGAAGCTCAACGTTTACAAAAACGATGCAGAAAGTTGGGACTACACGACGCCGACGCTGGGTGAGTTTTTCGTCGTTTTGATCCTTCTCTATCTTCCGTTTCTTGTTTATTTTTCTTTTTTTTTTCTCTCTGTTGTTCTTATCGATGTTACATACGTGTATATTGAGGAGCCTAAGTGCGCCGCGCTCAGTGGATTTCTATCGCTCGATGGGAATAAGGCTTCTCGGTCGGACATAATTCTGCTTAGGACAAGTAAACACTCGCTAGTGTAGAAACTCGTGAGACGGGATTTTCTAGATTAACAAACAGAAGAATAGTTTCCGAGAGACATTTGTCAAATCCGGTGTACAATGTTCCCTTACCGGTTTTATCAATTTCGATACAGAATCGCGGAATATATACATTCGTCTATTAGTGTCATGTACACGCGCCCTTAAGTTCTGAAACATTTATTTAGAATACTAACAAATCTGAACGGAAACATTTCAAAGAAGATTTCGACCGGAATTCGAATGAGTTAAATAGATAGATAGAGTTAATAGAGTTAGTTAGTTAACAATAGAGTTAAAATTTTCAATTGTTATATTTTCAATTGTAAATCCACTGAAACTTTCATTTCATATATTTATGCATAAAATTCAAATATTTACTTTTTCGAAAATAGGTAACAATTCTGGTTGGACCCTAACAGTTATTCTGCTACGAAAGAGTTCAAGTATTTTCAAATTGACATTATTAGTCCAAATATAGCTCACGAAAAATTAGTATAGTCCTCGCGCGACGAAATGGCACCTTTGCTTTTATATCCCCACTCCTACTATCTGCCCCACTGCCGCGACTAATAAGAGGGGGAACGTAAACACAAAGGTGCTGTCTTGTCGCGCGAGGACTATAAATTAAAGTCACGACGCGCTTACACATCTATATTTATCCTGTTTCCATTTCCTTAAATAATGCTAAGTAAATTGGAAAATAGCATGCACATTTATATTTTGTTATAGTATCTATTAACCCTTTGCACTCGAAGTGATTTTAACTGCAAATCTAAATTAATTTCTCCGACTTATGGTATTTCAATCTTGTATGAAAAAGTGCATTTTATGCGTACGAAATTTATAGTCTCGCGACTCGCACGACAATTGGACTTTTAACAATTTCTTACGTCTAGACTTTTATAATATAAAAATTATCTTGCAACGTGATGTAACAATTTTTTAACGGTGCCCCAGAGTCACCACTCGACTGCAAAGGGTTAAAGAAATAAATGTTCCTTCAGAATTCTAACGAATCAAGTGCAAAATAACTGTTAAAATTCAACTGAATAAAATGAAAATGTTATTCGTACCAATTAACATAAAACAAGAAAAAAAAATCATTCGGAAGTTCAAATTTTTCTGAATAATTTATATTTACGGAAATTATATTACGTAGTCATAAATATCAAATTACAGCGTCCGTATTAAGTTTAAGCCTTGATTTCAATTTTGCACCTGCACATCAAAATAAACGGGAGAACTATAGAAATATTTAATTAAGTTATAATTGAATTTAATACCTAATATGAAAAGTTAAGGGTAATTTTATTCTACACTCAAAGTATCATTTCCCTTGTATTATAATCTACGATTCGAATAAAAATCTAACTTTCGCTACGACGATCTATATCCTTGTCTCCGACAAAATGAAATCAATTAAGTTTCTGAAATTCGTAGAAACATCTTCATCGGATCCCGAATAAAAATGCATACGGTACTTCGAAGTCGTGTAAGGATTAGAAGCTTCCGGCCAGTGTTGTGCCACTAAATATCGAAACTGCCGTCGAAGGGTAAGCCTCCTGCCTAGGGGGAGGGAAGCCGTACTCCCCTCGAGCGATTCGAATCCGTCTAGCAAAATGTACTCACACACTTGGGACGCGTTTCGCGGCTCGACTTCGTTTAGTCATTGGTCGGTCACACACAGGGGTTGCGTGTACTCTTGTACACGAACCGTATCACTCGACGCACTCAGGAATCCGTTCCCTCTTTCGCGGCTCTACTCGAACCGTTCGGTTTCCATCCTCCCGCGACCGCGCGGAGTCCGTTCCTTCTAATTTCGCGTCGTTTCGACCGGCCTCTTTTTCCACCCCCTCCTTCTTTCGTATTCTTGGTTGCCCGGCCGCCGAGGAGACGCTAATTGGATAAAGCACAGTTCGGACGCGAGCTTGGAGGGTTTCCGTAAAACGCATCCCTCGTTAAGCCCGTGTCCGCGCGGTGCGAAGGCGTGTCGGCAGGCGTCCGACAAACAAGTCAAAAATTTGCTTGCATAGATAACAACGGTCAATCAACTTCGGAACAACGTTTGGACGGTTCAGAAGCCAATCAGTGTAGAGTTACCGTGGGGTGGTGGCCAACTGCTGCGCCTTTGCTTTATTTTCCGGCGTAATTAACTTCGATTTACTACTGTGATCAAAAAGTAAGGTGAATTTGTTTATAAAATGTAAATTCTTTGTTTATTCTTCCAAATCAATTTCACCCCCTTCAAAGTAATCCCCGTCCGATAAAACGCACTGTTTCCGACGCTTTTTCCAGTCCTCGAAACAGTCGGAATAGTCTTTTTCCGGTATAGCCTTCAAGACCTTCTTCGATTCGGTTTTTATCTCCTCAATCGTGTCAAAACGGCGTCCCCGCATTGGCTT